CAAACTGGTTACTTGTTCAACACTGAATGTCGAACGAGGACTACGTGTAAGTAACTACTTTCACATCGGTCACAGAGTCTTGATTGATGAACTCTTCTACATGTACTTTTCTTACTAAACCAGTGGAACCTAAGTGAATTTTTTAACTGCTTTCAGTCCCGGATTAATTGAATGATTTGTTAAATATTAATTACAATTTTTTTAAGGCAGTATCTGTAATAGCCTATGCCTTTTTCTCAGGAGTAGTTTATTACATGTCGAAGTTGGCATTTGTAGGTAGGGCACCCTTGCTTTATTTACTCTAAAAAGACTTTGCCACCTCACAGAATGTCATGTAAGTGACTCATTTCTTTTTACAATTTGCATGACAGTTTTGGAGAAAATATGTGATCGATTATTGAATATTTGAATATTATTGTCTGAATTTGAAAATTCCAATGCAAAATTCATGTAAAGGAAGGAAAATTTTTGTTGTAAATGAGAAAAATTGCACTATGCAGGCTTTTTCCAAGCAGATTCAGATGAAAAGTGACAGAAGTCTTACAATTCAAAAGTAACTTATTCATTAAACAATTTAATAGGAATAGAAATTTTCAACATGGCAAGAAGTATTATTCATTTCTAAAATCTTGCTAAATCATGGCTGGAGATTCTCCTATATGTGAGAAGCTATGATATTAATTATAATGTACAGTCGTGTGCATTATTGCCACTGATTTTGTATATTGTTTATCAACAATCTGCCAGTCGGTATGACCGACTACTCCGATATTCGATCAAATTGAAGGTCGAATATTCGAAAAGTGAATTATTCGAATTGACTCAGCCCTGTTGTCATTGCAGATAGCCATGCTAGCATGGCTGAACAAGGCTGAGAATGGCGAGGAGTTCTTCAAGTTGGTCTCAACAGCCAGGGTGTGGTACGAGCTTTACCAACGGGCCAGCCATAATGATGAAATTGATGCTTACAAGGCAAGTAGAGTATACACAGTACATCTGCTTTACTGTAAAGGTGCTGTTTAACAGCTTTTTAGGGCTCTGGGAAGTAGAATCTGACACAGATTAACACCAAGAGTACCACCTGCCAATCGCCATTGTAGCCAAATGGCAAATTTGAGTAGTCAGTCAGAAAACGACTGTATTTAACTGTGCATATATAAAAGCAAGTGGCTGCAGAAGTGGACACTTGGATACATTTGTGGAGACTATTCAAAATACGCAAGCTGGAACCCTGAATACCTATACCCCAGAAGTCTTTATACCCGATATTTTCTGAAACCGATGATATTGTACACGAGGTAAAATGCTTTGAAAATCGGCGTTTTGCTGAGCTGAATGGTCACTTTATTGTTTGTGTTTTTCACAGGCAGAGACTGTCTTAGCGATTGCAAACTATGTGAAGAGTCACCCTCGTGCATCTCGAGATGAACTGACAAAAGAGATTGAGAAGCAGATCCAGGCATTTGCTGCCAAGATAGAGGCCCTATGAGCTACATTTGTTTAATGCCTTTGTATATAAATAGTATAGTACTAAATAGAATCCCATGTTTACTATATTATTTGTCTATTAATGAAGTCTGTATTAATACTAAATATGGCATTGTTGTCAAATTTTCACAAATTCATCACAGTTTATCTGTCTTGAGTTTCAAATGAAATGCAACAAAGGCATTTTATCCATTGTTCACCCTGTTACTACTTCCTCCAGACCTTTTGGACTTGAGAGGGAATTGTGACAATTTTTACTAGCTGAGCTGTTGTACTGTGAATCTTTGAGAGGCAGCTGTGATAGAATCCTGATAAATTAGGTGTACGTAAAGCTGGAATACATTGTAGAGAACAATCAAGGGCCAACACTTCATGATTCAGACACAATCGTAAGCACTGAATACCTGGTCCATGGTACCGGCATGGTATTTGTTGCAATGTTGTAATGTACATGTAGTATATCTGGATTGCTTGTCATCTGTTGGGTTGCCTTAAAAACAGTGCATGATGGAGAGTATGAAGCCACCATATGACACTGTATAGGGGGTGATGTTCATGATATAGTGGTACATCTATAATATGTCTTACATTCATGCAGAATCTCGCATCAGAATGGCATATTATGGGTTTTTTTAATTGTTTTTCCTTTTTGAGTGATATTTAATACATTTTAGTCGTTGTGAAGTCCGAAAAATTATTCATAATCCGCTTCAATTTTTTGCTCCCCACAAAAAGTGTGGGGCATGATTCAATAGCCCACCCCCCTTAAAAAGAAGGGGGATATTGCCCTCCCTCCTTGTTGATGCCAATGGGTGCATTCAATTAGCTTACACGTGTACATGTAAGTCAAACTTACTCGAGAGCATTCATTTAGCCATCACGTGATTTTCATGCCTGCCCTGGTGTCAGCCACCACTACCCCGGCTGGCGAGCGGGTCTCTGGAGGCTGCCTGAGTGTAATGACATCACGGATGGACTGTTTGAGCATTGACATGATTGAACGTGGCGGGGACTTGACCTTTTTCCCAGAATGCCTTGGCGAATACACTGCACTGTTCGATTGGCCTCATTTCAAGGCTTCCCTTGCGTGCAAGTATTCAGGGAAGCTAATCAAACGCACCCTATGTGTATAACAAAACATACATGTATATCTTTATAGCATTCAGATTTCTGAAGCACTCTCTCAGCACTTGGCTGTGCAAACACTCAGAAATCATGCTGGCTACTGCTGTGATTGCAGGGTCTTTGTGATGCCTGTGTACATGGAATTGAAGAAACATTTGTATCCTATCTCTAAAATAATGGCATTGCATGGCTGTGAAGCATATGCATCCCTTGTGTTCAAAGAGCAGTCGCTTGAAAACAAGCACTCGATTCACATGCCTGAGTTATGACTGGTTACTTGCTGATGAATTTTGTTGTATGAGCTGTGATCGTTATTGGCATGCACAGTGTTCAATACAGAAAGACATGCACACTCATGCCAACATGTGTATAAAGGAACAGAAATTTTCAACAGGGCAAGAAGTATTGTTCATTTCTTAAATCTTGCTAAATCGTGGCTGGAGATACTCCTAGATGTGAGAAGCTATTACAATGATTATAATGTACAATTGTGTGCGTCATTGCAACTTATTTTGTAAATGGATTGTTCAACAACCTGCTGGTTGGTATGACCGAATATTCAGATATTCGATCAAATTGAAGGTTGAATATTCAAATAGTGAATTATTCAAATTGACTGGAGCCTATTCAACCGTTTATTTGGGCTACAGTGAACAACTGGTGCATATTGGTATTTTAATCTTTCAAACTTACGCACAGGACTTCATTTGATCCATCAGGATTAGGGTTTGCTTTCAACAGCAGCACACTTACTCCACTTGTTGCTCAAGAGTTATATTAATTTAATTCTGGAAAGTGTTTACGTGTATTTTGTCTTGGCTGCAATTGTGTATGTATAATATTTTAATCATTTCTGATTTTTTGATTGTATCAATCCTAAGGTGTATTTATGTATGAAACCAGTTTTTTTTTTATTTCAAAATAATTGTCTGCTTGTAACAAACTATACGGAGTAAAAACAAATAAAAACACTCATGTGCATATTGCAAGTCATTTGCACTTAGTTTTGATGTCTTTCAAGAAATTTTACCTCCTTGGCATTTCAATTCCAAGAGTCAGAACATTTCAAAAGAAAAAATCGAGCTTTTTTAGATTTTAAAGTTGCAAGTGTGGTATTCATAATTGAAAATGAAACTTCTATTTTGCTATCTGTTAGGTATTTATTTATCACCAAATATACTGTACAAACTGAGTATAGTATTTACAGACGAATACAGATAGCATTGTACAAAAGTTCTTTGAACTAATTGATCTCATTTTGTCCAAACATACTAGCAATATGAAAACAGTGATATTAACCAACACCCTTTCAAAAGAAGGACAACTGAAATCCTGGATAATACACAGAAATAAAACCAAAGAAAATGATTATTGACAGCAATCAATCAGAACTTCACAATGAAAATATTTCTGTAGCAAACACTTAAATATTACTTCCCCATAAAAGAATTTTACTTACATTATCTTTGGTTTATCTAAAGGACAGGGGGTACAGCTAAGTAATCTCGCCAAATTTTATGTCTGGAGTTCCTACAAAGCAATTTTGGCACATGAAAGGTTGAGAGTTGGTCCTACAAAAGAGAAAATCTGAGATCGTTTGATAACAGCTGGCAATACCAGCACAGCTCCTGATGAAAAGCAATGACAAATGTATTCAGAGTACTCAAGAAATTCGACTTTTCTGATAAATACCTGTAAGATTTAATTTTTTTGTTCAAATTTGCTTACATATGTGGAAGCACTTTAAAATCACGCTAGTGGGAATGGTATCCCATCATTTCTGTTTGAAATAAAGACCTCGTGGTTTACAGCTGAAACTGAAACCCGCTGTTACAAAAATAATTTTAGTACTCCACCCAGCACAAATTCAGATTGCTGATTAATGGAAACATACAAAAGAGATGTTGAGGTCTCAAAAATTATCACTGTTAATAAAAACTGACCCTTCACCCACATATATGTAAAAACTTTCAATAAATATATTTACATTAAACATTGATACATAAAACTGTCAGTAGTGGGTCCCACTTTCGTGTTGATGTCAAAATGAAAGTTTTTAAATTAAATTTGGGCGGGCCATATTCGTTTCAAATATGTCCAACATATTTCTCACCAAAGAAAAATGGCTTGATTCTTACCTTGAGAAGTTTTCATTTATGACATAAGTGTTTTTATATTATATCAAGTAGTGGACATTTACCATTCAATGACCTACACTCCCAATGCAAAATTACATTCACTGAATCCAAATTTCAGCCATAACTCAGAAAATGAGCCAACCTTCAAAATCCTTTTAAAAATGTCTCTTGCCCACAGAATTCCTTGTGCTTTTCTTCAGCTTTCCAATATTCTGCTTCCATCAAACCTAAAATGAACACATCTCATGAAATCAGCATTAGGAAACAAAAATCCTCTGTGTTTGATGAATTCATAAAGTGAACAAAAAAAGTGTAAAAATTCCGACTTCATTGGAAATCAGGGTTTTTCAGGAGAAGCACTGGCTCATGTGCTAGGTCAATATGCACAGATAAAGAAATGAACTGACACCTGCAAAACCGCAAGACATTATTTCAGGACAGGAATTGCAATAAATAACCTACGAACACTACATCAGAGTTTTGGCAACCCTTTAACAAAACAGAGGTGCAAAAAAAGGAAAGCTGATGAGTGCATAGCCTTGATTGTCAGTTTTTATAATTAAAATGAACCAGAGATTTCATGTCAATTTGTGCAAGCTGTTGCAGTAATTTGTGAGCAAGTTCCTTTGTTGATAAAATTAATATTGCAGAATTGGTAGCACACTGTGGGAATGAATGTCCCATACTTTGGAAAGTTAATTATGTGAAAAAATACAATACAGAGCTGAAATATTACAAAAGTAAGTTTTTCCTTTGCTAAAGAATTATGCTCGGATTGAAACATTAGACCACTCTGAGTTTTCAGCTCTAAATTAGAATAACTTATTTTATCAATTTAGTTTTTTTTTGCTTTTATCCACGATACATCAACTAAAACTAAACTGAAAACTGAGATAAATTCTTTTTTAAAATGTACAGCGATGAAAGGGTAGAATTTTTTTAACGCTAGTGTTATGTAAAGAGGAGATGAGTTCAGATGAGAGTTGTAATTTCAAATTCAGTTGTTAATAAATGGTTCTTATCTTTCCAAGGGTCTCACACATTGACTTTTGAAGGCACTGATGACTTCATATGTCCCAACCTATCAAAACCTGAAATACATCCAAAGAGGTCAGTTTGCTCTTTGTAATGCAACAATAAAATAAAAAAAAACAATGCTGATTAAAATGGCTTTACAACTTATTTTGTGGGTCACACATTATCAAAACATTAACGCCTAGCATCCATGGTTGGTTCGTTATGGGGTGCACAAGTAGTATAGCCACATGGAACTTACTGCTGAAATATATTTCAAAAAGTAAAATAAAAATTGGCCCCATCATGTTGAGTATTCCACAGGACAATCTACCCAAGTTCAGTGAAGTTACTGCATCATACTGGCTGCAAATCATTCAAGTGTTGCACCAGAGCCTGTCATAAATCCATGCCGAGTCCTAGCAAGCCCACCACTCATCTAGTACCATCAAGATGCAAGGTATTCACTGGAGCAAAGATATATCTTTGGTCATGTCCATCACCTGTTCCTTGAGACTGGACTCGTGAAATGACTTGTGACTTACCCGTGATCGGACATGTAACCGATGAGAGTAACACTGAAGTCACCTTAGTATTACTACAAAACATTTAAAAAGATATTTTGACCCTTCCACCAAAATGGCAACAGGGTTAATAAATAAAATTGCTATCACACAATCAACTTTCCATGAACTTATCCTAACAAAAATCCATTATAGCGACATGCCTAATATTTAACATGCCCAATATTTATTTTAAGCAGAGGTATTATGACATACCATGTTTGCAAAAGCCTTTTCTTTATTCTTTACTATTGTATATTATTAACCAAACTATTGCATACAAACAGCATCAATGCTGACATCAGCAATATTTACAACTGGCTGGAATTTGGGATTCGAATTTTGGAATGAATGTAGTAAAATATACCTTCTAATATGAACTTGTGGAATACAATAATCAACACTGTCAATAGTGATTCCAAATGGCCCCACACCTTGATGTGCCAAGCCAAGGAAAAGCCTAGTACTGTGCATGTATATGTAACAGCACATGTAAACGTCACTGTTAACTTCTCCAAATAAACCAGGCTCATGTTAACATAACATGTTCACGGACCATTTCACTCTCCAGGCATCTCCACTTACGCACTTCCTCTTGACAAACCAACGAGATGGAGAGGCCAACTGCTAGAGACAAAACATCAGTGATGCTTGAGGCCCTTGGAGGAGATTTCCCAATGTTGCGTCTTCTTTGCCGGATCGCACGTCATCATAAAAAGCTCTTTGCTGGTTGCTCTGTGATCCAGACAAAGATTCTGGTCTGCTATATAAAGTGCTTGAGTGTCCTGACAGGAAAAAAAAAACCCAAGATGAAAATGTACTTGCAAGAGATTTTGAGGTTTTAAATGAACAACTTTCTTGGAAGGAACGATTCTGATAGAAACCTCATCACAGGGGGATTAGACCATATCTGAGTAGCTTGGGTGCTGCCAAAAAGAAGGTGCAGATGCTAGCAAGTCACTTCCATGGACATGTGTCATTTCAAGCCATAATGAAGTCAGATACAGCAGGGTATTATTACGTTGTGTGGCGTTCTCCAAGAACAGAAACAAGACAATGCATTCAGAGGAAACGCTCTGACTCCTTGCATGGTGCCATCAGTAGATAAAGCTCTTCACCAAAGTATAGCAGAGTAACTCATTAGCATCACTGAGCATAATGGAAACTATATTGGTTGTTCTAATCTCAAGATGACCTGAGTTCAAGTATTTAATGCTGCATACCGTATTGTAAGCCCAGTGGTACTTGGTTGTGTCGCACCGTCGTAACCTGATGTCGGAAGAGGATTTGTAGGCACACTGGTCGTGAATACGGAACTGGCCATCTTCCGTTAGTCTAAAGAGTTGGTTCCCGCCAGCACCATGGCAGTACGACATGCCTATCTTGCCACCATCCTTCTGGCCCATTGAGTCCACACACAGACGGGCACCAGCCGTTTTAACCTGCATGAGAACATGCGTTCGTGCAATCTTCAAAGTGGTTAGAAGCCACTTGTACTTTGAGTGAATTTCTAAAAAGATTGAATTCAAGTTAATTATTCCTCTCCTTTTCTCCTCTTCATTTCTTTTTTCCCCAGAGCCTTTTTTCAGGCAACCCACTTTTGACAGTGCTTAAAATAAGGACAGCTTCTTTCTTAAACAGTAATTCTAAAATTCCATTTCAAATGAAAAAAAAAACACTTGTAAGATCTGAAAAACAAAAAAGGATGTTTGGCAAGGCCTAATGAGATTACATTCAATTACCCAACAACGACTGCAAAACAAAATTTTAAAAGCTTCATCATGACAGCTACTTCACAAAAGTACAAAAACTTTCCAAAATAGCCGGTTCAACAAGAGTTCAACCTCGAGTACAGACAGCATAGACAACCAACCTCTCCCCACTGTATATTGGCAGCTGGCAAGGGATACTTGTCCACAATGTCCGGTGCAATCTCTGACATGTACCAGGTGAAAGACCGGCATTTCATCCTCCGACGGAAAGCCAGCTGTTTCTCCAGGTCGCCCACCGAGACCAACATGGCCTCGGGCTTACTGCGGTAGAAATACTCCTTGTAGTCATCAAACCAGACTTCCACAACTCGCTTGAGATTCTGGATACAGAGAGAGAAGTCATTTCTTTTAGGCATCTCAAACATCAGATTTTAAAACCAATTAGTTTTCAGGTCTATTTTAAGGCCTTATTCTATTTTCAGGCCTTAACAACACCATGATTTCCTTAAAAGTTTAACTGACATCAGGGCATCTGGCCTCAAAGCATAAAAAAACATGCCAAATTAGCTATGCAAATGTGAATTCAGACAATTTTAACTAAAGCGCTTGTTGAGATGAGAGTCAATTAGAAAAACACAGAGAAAGCATACAGTGCTGAATGTGATGTTAATATTGAAATCAAGAAATGTACCTTAGACCAATATGTGCATAAGACACCTGCAACTTCAGGATAAGACACCTGCACCTTCAGGAAACCTCTCAGTCATGGCAGAGGCACTGTGCCCTCTACCGCTCCCAAAAAACCCATCAAGGGTCATTCATTTACCACAATACAACAGCTGGCACATTGCTTCCGCTGTCAATGAGAGATTGCTGAATGTACAGTATCCATATAAAGATGCAGTAGAATACTGACTAATGACTAGAGGAGAAGTATGGCCCCCATGGTCACTGAAAATTTGTCAAGATCTTTGCAGCAAGCAGCCCGAAGCAGCTAGAAGCAGCTGACCCTTTCTGCCTCAAGCAAAGGAAGGCTACACTACAACCAGCGACTCCAAGAAGTTTGTTAACCAAAAAAAAAGAGAGAGCAGCAGTACCCACCACCACCAACAGTAAAGTACACAAGCAAATTCAACATCCACTGGATGGAGACTTTCTTACCCTCTCACTAGTCATCATCATGCTACCGTTTGGTGCCGAGTATGGTACCTTACCATGAATTCTATACACATGACCAACACGTGAGCAGGGTACCCACAGCAGTGAGCCCCCACACATCCACAACTGTAGCAGGATAGAGCAAAACAAAACAAATTCAATCATTTGCATTTTTGGTCTTTTTTTTTTAATTCTTACCCTTTCACTTAACATCATCATGCTTCCGTTTGGAGACGAGTATGGTACCCTACCAAGAATTCTATAAACATGGCCTACTCTGGAGCAGGGGACCCAGATGAGAGAACCGCCACACATCCATATCTGGGGGACAGGAACCACACTAATCAAAATAAAGATCCTGCAAAAAATAACTTTAATACACTTACCGAATTGCACCTTTTTTCAAATGAATTGGTCAAAATAAAGGACAACTTGAAAAATGAATACATATGCATAAACTGTGATTGAATATCAATCGTCAGCCTTACTCCATTTTTTACAGTAACAGTGATGACATTTTATAAGCTGTGTAGTTACAGTAGTGCAGTTTACAGTGTTTATTTTGAAAATGAACAAGTACAAATATGACCTGTAACTCGCTTATGTTCAAGCTTAACTTGTCCGAAGTATCTATTCATACAATGACACTGGACTTGTCTATTGTGAGATAAAAATGAAACCCAGCCTACTGAACATGGCTTCATCACTGGCTCCCTTTAAAAGGGCATATGCACTGCAAACCGTGGCTGGGAACCTTGGATGGTCTGATTGCCTGATGAGATATAGACCACAAGATATGTCCTGTTTGATGGAGAGTACAGATAGAGTGAGCACTGGTTACCTGGGGTATTTGCTGGAGCTGTCTCACTATGCTTGGAGACAATGGTGGAAATTGACATATGTGACCAGATCCTGCAAATGAGTC